TTTTTAGTAGATGTCTATTCCTAATGACATTTTATATTGTACATGTATTTATACTATCCACACAGTATAATTGTACACCACTTCATCTGGCTGCAAAGCATGGACACCCTGACACAGTGAAACTACTTACAGAAATGGATTGCGATAAAGAAGCCTGTTGTGGTGAATTAGACGGCTACAACTACTATGAAGTAAGTTATTTACTTGTAGTCCTGAGTCTATTATTTTGAATTTATTCAGTCTGTAACTATTACATGTAATGAGTCAACTTTGTTTTATCAGACGTCTATTTTTAATGACATTTTATATTGTATTTATACTATCCACACAGATTAATTGTACACCCTTTCAACTGGCTGCCGAGAATAGACACACTGACACAGTGAAACTACTTATAGAAATGGAATGCAATAAAGAAGCCCAGTGTCGGTTTGTAAGTTATTTACTTGTTATCCTGTGTCTATTATTTTGAATTTATTCAGTCTGTAACTATTACATGTTATGGGTCAACTTTTTAGCTCTGCTGTCGACTTTGTCGAGCGGAGCTTATCATATGAGTGATTGTTCGTCGTCGTCCGTGTCAATGTTTTACTTTTTCGACTTCTTCTTGAAAACTACAAGCCTGAATGCTTTTATACTTGGTGTATATGTACCTTGGATAGACCTCTCTCATATTTGTTCATTTCATGATGATATCTTCAATTCTCTAATTTTGGTGAATATTTTTGGTAAAAAGTGATATTTTCGACTTCTTGTTAAAAACCGCAAGTGCAATTGCTTTGATATTACATATATAGGTACTACATGTGAACCTCTCTCAGATTTGTTCATTTTGTAATGATATCTTCAAATCTCTAATTTGGATGAATATATTTGTCATTTTTTGTAAAAAGTGATATTTTCAACTTCTTGTTAAAAACCGCAAGTCCAATTCCTTTGATATTACATATATAGGTACTACATGTGGACCTTTTTCAGATTTGTTCATTTTGTAATGATATCTTTAATTCTCTAATTTTGGTGAATATTTTTGTCATTTTTGGTAAAAAGTGATATTTTCGACTTCTTGTTAAAAACCACAAGTCCAATTGCTTTGATATTGCATATATAGGTACTACATGTGGACTTGTTTCAGATTTGTATATTTGCTTTTTATATATATATATTGTTCATTTTCTAATGATATCTTCAGTTCTTTAATTGTAATGTGCATTGCTAACAGCGGAGCTGTCTCAGCCGAGCGGCTGCTTGTTTTTTATCAGATGTCTATTTCTAACGATTTTATATTGTATTTATACTATATCCACACAGGGTAATAAAACACCACTTCATCTGGCTGCAGAGAATGGACACACTGACACAGTGAAACTACTTATAGAAATGGATTGCAATAAAGAAGCCCTTGATAATGTAAGTTATTAGTCCCCGTTCGGACGAAGTCCGAAAACAAGTTCTTATAATTCGGTGTGCGTCTGTGCGTCCGTCCGTCCGTCAGTCTGTCCAGAGTCATATTTCAGAATCCTGTGGACTGATTCTGTTCATTCTTTGCATGTGCCTGGTAACTTATGTGGGACATATGCACATGCAGTGGTTTAGTGATTCGATTCAAAATGGCCGACTGTCAGCCATCTTGTTTTTTGAAAGTCTCGTATTTTAGACATGCTTTGTCAGTTGTCATTCAAACTTGGTACATAGATTATACATGTTAGGATACATGTCCATGACGATTTATTTTGCAATTAGATCAAAGATGGTCGACTGGCAGGCATCTTGTTTTTGTTTTTTTATGCGGTATCTTGGAAGTGCTCTGTCAGTTTTCATTCAAATTTGGCACTTACATGTACTTTATACATGTTAGGATGCATGTCCATGACAATATGTTTCACAATCTGGTCAAGGTTGGCCAATTGACAGCCATCTGACTTTTTGGCCTTACTACTATATTTCCACAATTTATGTACCATTTTCATTTGTATTTGGCACATACATCATACATATCAGTGTGTTTAATAATCAGATCAAAGATGGCCAAATAACAGCTGTTATTATTTTTGGCCATAATACTACTACACGGAACACGTGTTTTGATGTACCGG